CGGGCCGCGGCGCTCGCAGTGACCCGCCGAGGGGGTGTGGGGTGCCCCGGCGCGAAAGCGAGCCATGCCCTCCCCCTTCTTGAACCAGGCTGGAATTATTGCGTGTGGAATTCCGGTCGTCGGTGGCGCTGGGGTGGGTGGGTGGTTGGGGGGTGCTGGCTGTAGAGGCGGCGGTTCGCCAACGCAACCGCATCTGGCGTGCTTGTGTTCTTGCGCTTTTGGGGAACAGAAGCCGTCCTGGCCTACTTGTCCCGCGCCTCGTTCTTTGCAACGCATGCGGCGGCGCAGCGCAAACCGCAGCCGCGTGCGTGCCCTGCGGCGCTGTGGGTCCAATGGTGGGTTCTGTTGTTTGCGGGGTGTCGGCGTGTTGGTGTTAAAGGGGCTTGCTTGGAACGCCGTGGGGCGTGACGGGGGGCCCGCGAAGATAGAGACTTTGGGCGGCCGGTCGCCGTGGCGGTGAACGCCCCCCTGGCGTTTTTGCCGGCCAACATGTAAAGCGCCAGATTTGCCGTCGCAGCTGCGCAATATGGATCCTGCGGCGCGTTGCGCCCTCAATTGGGCAGGGACGCCTGTTGCCAGATCGTGGTGCAGCCGCCCGGGCGGCGCAGGGCCTTTTTAGCCGGGGCGCCGGCCGGCCCGCCTTGGGGGTGTTTTAAGGGTGGCGCCGCTTGGGTTGTTGGCGGTGGCGCCCTCGGGCGGGTGCGCCGTAGGGCTTGGGCCGCTCATTGCGGTGGCGTGTGTCGTGGTCTTCCGCGCGGGAATTCCATCCTGAGAGGCTGGTCGTCTTCGTGTGGTGTGATGGCGTGTGTTGCCAGTTTTGCGGGAATGTTTTTGTTTTTAGAATTTTTTTTGTCTTGTAGAATCNCGGATGGTTTGGCCCCATTTCTCGATAACCTGTTGACTTTTTAACTCATTGGCCGCAAAAGTCGATAACGAAGGTGACGGGTTTTTTGACGGCGGTAGGTACACTTAGAGGTCCCCAGTGGGAAATGTGCGTGTGGTGCCACCCCAGGGGGCAATGAAACTACATGGTTGTACCGGCCAAGAAAGATGTGCAGTTTCTTTGTTTATTAATTTTTTGCGATTCAATGAAAGTCGTATGGGACAGTGTAGTCTTCGATGTGCGTTTCGCATGCAGGGGACGGGGGCGTACTATTCCAAGTGCAATATAAGTGACATTGCCAGGCACACGATACAAAGTGCGCGTTACAGATACAATAAAGGCTTGGAGAGAAGATACCAACCATGACATTTTGTCCTTTATTGCCAATAGACCATATATAAAAGTTTTCTGCTGCGATAGATGTGTCTGCGTGGCGATCTGGAGACAACAATAGATTGGGGAAGTTAAGGAAGCAAAAAAGATATTCTGCCTTCATCTTGAATGTGGTGGCGCTCCGTAGCAACTGGGACTTCTACATAGCCTTCCTTTTCTTTGTTTGATTTACCTACAGTGGAGTTATTTTTGTGTTGCCTTTGCAGTGCGGGTGCTGATAACAAAATGACCATTGTCAAAAGGGGTATATTTGTTCACAAGCTCTGGCATCTTGCGGTAGGAATGGTCTGGTATCTCACGCTGCTACAGTGCTAACACATCAATACATATTTGATCTATTTATGTTTTCAATTACAGCCCGTGACAAATTAGGTAAGTTTTGAAAGCCCACCCAACCCAACACTCTCTGCTTCCGCGCAGGAGGCGGGTTAAGGACGCTTTCAGCTCTTTCTTTTCGTAAGTCGTAAATAAACTGCAAAGGACAATCCTCGATTCTTTTTCTCTTGGTATGTGGGGCGGTTTCTCTTATCTGAAGAAGAACGAAACAAAGCACGCGTTGAAAATGAGAATATTTTACTCTTTCTTTCTTTCTGTCTTTAGTGAAAGTAAGGCACAGGTTATTCATTATATTTATTCCTTTGTCTTTTTGTGAAATATAGGTTTGGTGAGGACCAAGAGTGGGATGGAATCATGGGAAAGGATAACGAAGTAGGTATGGGATCGACCGGCAACAACGCTCAGGAGTGGTCTTCCACGTACCCGTACGGATCTGCCAGCCGCTGCCAGAAGCATACTGAACCATTCCGCAATATAGCTCTTGAAATGAAGTCCACATCGAATGAAGATGTGTTGGAAGACGGAGAGGTGTACATTAGTGAAGATCATAACGAGGAATACTCATTGAGCTGGGTAAAGGTTGCTCTTGCTTTAATTCCTTTGGCCACACCGTCTGCTGTAAGCATTGCATTGACCTTTGGCTTGGCGGTTATTCCACTGGCTTTCATAGGCTCTGTGTTGGGTGACAAAGCTCTTACTGGTGCTTCTGTGGGATATTTTATTATTTCGATTGTTGCTCAGTATCCACTCTGTGGCCTGACCTTTGCGATGGACGCGTTTTGTTCACAAGCATATGGCAGAGATCCAGAGAGTGACGAACAAGGGGTTATCCTTCAACGGGGAGTGCTGGTAGGTATTGTGTTTGTGGTGCCTGTGAACATTCTTCTTCTTCTGTGTCAGCAGATTTTGCCGACAATATACGGAGAGGAGATTGGTGCGGTTGCGTGTGACTTTATGAAATTTGGGTTTTTATTCATTATTCCATTGGTGACGTTCACTGCGTTTTCGAAGTTCTGTCTCAATCAGCTTAAACCGCAGTTGCCGATGACTGCTCTTATAGTGGGTATTATTGTCACCCCTTTGACTCAATACTTACTTGTGAAACGAGGCGTCCATGGCTCCATGCTAGGAATGGTTTTGTCTGCTTGGACACAGCTTCTGGTGATTGTGTGTTTGACATTGTGGGTGGAGCCAACTCGCCGAACCTTTGGAAAAATCCGTATAAGGGAAGTATTAGACTGGGATGAATTAAAGGAGTATATTCTTCTTGCACTTCCCAGTTCTCTTTTCGTCGCTGCGGAGGCGTCAGCCTTTGATGTTGCTGTGCTACTTGCAGCCACCTTGGGTACTGCGGAGGGGGCCGCATTCTCTGCGACCCTCAACTGCCTTTTGATTTTTGTTTCGCTTGCCGGAGGTATGAGTACCGCGGCGTGCGCTAAAATCGGAGCGAGCCTGGGTGCGCAGCTTCCGCGGTGCGCATGGCAACATGTTGTTGTTGCTGTTGCCTGTGCTCTTGCCGTCTCTTCATTAAACGGTATAATTATGTTTGTGCTGTTTGATCCAATTCTCAGCCTGTTTGGAGTGGGAGAGGCTTCACTGGCGGCAGCCCACACGGTGCGTTGGGTGGTTCCGCTTACTCATGTGGCTGACAGTGCACAGTATGTTTTTCAAGGGGTCTTTAGCGGGATGGGACACAATAAAGATGGGGCACGAATTTTGATTACATGTTTGTGGGCCATTGGGTTTCCATTAGAGTTGCTGTTCACTTATGCATTTGGCTGGGGCATTTCTGGGATTCTTGGTGGGCTGACGATTGGACTACTCCTGGAATCGCCAGCAATGCTTTGGTACGTGAGGAATGTAGATTGGGAGCAGCTGGCCAAAGAAGCAAGTGGTTACTCTGAATGTGTGCAGCTGGAAGAGGACCCGAGAGTGATGGACCTGGAAAACCTGTGAAAATTATTTCTATCATGTGTCTGAAGCACGCAGAGAAAGGAGGAAGGGGATGGAGTTTTGGAACAATGCTACCCAGTTTGATGCCAAGTGCCAGGGGAAGAACAAAACCGACTTTTTTTTCAAAAAAAAAATAAGAGCAAAAAAATTGAGATTCAGGCATTGCGAATGATGAGACGGCGAGTCGTGTTTCAGAATAGAGCGAAAAAAAAAATCTTTGGGGAACTCCCTTGCGTGGCTATATTCCGAGCGACTTGGCATTTCTGCGAATATGAAGACATTTCTCCTGAGAAGAGTGTGCACGAGCAATTAAAAGGAAGTTATGGAAAAAAATGTGTGGCCCAGGGGGAACTTGTTGGGCAACTGCTTTCCCAGATGATACTTCAATCTACATATTCGGCCCTTTTTACTAACTGCTAAAAGAAAACAAAAAAAAATAGCAAAAAACACACACGAAAAAGATTGAAAACAACACAAGCTTCTGTAACGCCGCGTTACTTGCATCGATATCCATAAAATTACCATTATGAGTAAAGTTTTGAATATACCGCTTATTCCGTGGCTGCTGATAGTTTTCTCTCTCTCTCTCTCTCTTTCTTATATATATATATACATACATACATATATATATATATGTCTGCGTGCATTGACGGACTGCGTTGTGGCGAGAGCCGATGCTTGTAGGAACACCGATTTCAGAGGTCTCGATCAAACTCTTTCTTTTCTCTTTTTGCTTTGTTGTCTTGACAAGGGATATTTCCCCTTTTTCGTACTAAAGGCTTTTCTGGCAATGGTTGACAAACCGAGGGCGCAGCCTTTGATAGAACAACTAAATGGGTTGCTCATTGCGTGGTCTAAGAATGAGAAATCGGCGGAACTTGCGGCTCAACTTGTTAATTTGTACTTCCGCTTCATGATAACTGTTCACCACGACCTTGTGATGCAGGAAGATCAGGGCGCTCTCCAGGCGACCGCGGCGTGTATTTCTGTGTGGGAAATGTTGCACTTTCACAGCAGTTTATTTGGGCCACTCCGTGGGTCCGCAAGGGCGTTTGTTGTGAGTCTTCTGACTGCATTGTATCCCAAAGCGAAGGATCGCCGCTGCTTGTACCAGCACGTGGGTTGTGTTGGTGGCTTGGGATCCCCACGTGTTCCACTCACCACCCATCTTCCTATGAGCGCGGAGGTGATGAAATGCATAAGCGGTGAAATTGACGAAACTGATGCGTATGACAACATTGTGGCTTACGTGCAAAACACCGTGTCTGCAGAGGAGTGCATCTTCGGTAGTCCTTCAGTGAATGAACTAAAGGAAAAAGTGAAAACATTCACGGAGTCTGTTCTTCCACGGATTTATTTTGCGAAGGACAAGAGCAATACGGCGTCTGTTGGCAAAATATGCGATAACGCGATAATAATACCATTGACTGGAGAGGCGTCCTCACCAATGCGTTCATACGATGTACTGCAGCAGACCATCTGGAAGTACCTGGTCCTTCTGCATGCTTACAGCCCCGAAGACCGAAATTCATTGGGAAACTTCCTCACAACTTCTTCGTGGTCACAGAGGAGTGTGTGTCTAGCGGATGACTTGAAGGTGACATACGCTACCTTTGTGGGCCCATTTGTCCATGAGGCCGCTGTTTGCACTTCTCTCATGCCCTCCGTCGCGAGTGACGCGGCTGATAATACTCCAATGATTCATCCACGTCTACTGGAAGTGCTGTTGCAAAAAGAGAACTCCTCAGAGGATTCTTCACTAGCTGGAGAAAACCTTACAGAGGCGTTTATCCCCGATCGACTCACTAGACGAACCGTTAGCATGGCCCACGCCACGGCAGCAAGTATGCGGGAGATGCTTGTGGAATCTATTCCACAAGAGATTGCATTTTGCGACGAAAGTGCCTCATGTCGTGATTGTGACAAACTGACACAGCTGTGTCGCGGTGCTGTACTCTCACCAGTGGTGCAGGACACTGGTTCTGACGGCTTATCGGACCGTGCTATGAGGCGTATGCTTTTTGACCGGAAACGAAGGCGCGATGACGATTTTTACGAAGGCCCTGTGCTTTTACCGGTTGCCTCGAGCCTTTCCGAGATGCTTGATGAGAAGGTGACGAAAAAGTCACTCTCTACTCTGGAGCGCATTGCTTCCTCCTGACTTGATTTGAGCGGTGTAGCGAAACTTCTTCCCGTTTATCCATTTGCATGGTTATATATATATATATATATATATATCTGTATATATGGTTGTAGGTGGTGTCTCTTTGTCTCTTTCTCTCTCTCTCTGCGTGTCTTCAACCGTCTCTTTCATTCATTTCCTTTTCCTTTTTGCCCTCTCTGGTTTGAAGGATCATACACAAATACCATCTGGATAAATTGTTATCAACGAATTATTATTTACCCTTCTCTTTTCGCCATTCACACAATCTGTGAAAGCGATGCCACCGAAAGTACTTTGCCCTGCACTATCCCCAGCACAGCGCAAGGCGGCCTCGCGGGAACACCCACCAGTTCCAAAAGTTTGCGTTGTTACAGGTGGCACAGGGTTTGTAGGTATGCGTCTCGTGGAGATGCTCGTGGAACGAGGTGCAGAGCGGGTTGTGTGTTTTGATATTGTTCCGGTAGAAAAGGTAGTTAGCGTATGGCGGCATCCGGCCATAGAGTACGTCGTTGGCGACATCGCCAACTATGATGATGTTTCCAAGGCAGTCAAAGGGGCAGACTGCGTCTGGCATCTGGCAGCCGCAGTCGGGCCGTTTCACCCACAGGAGTTGTACGATAAGGTCAACTACGGAGGCACAGTGAACGTCATCCGTGCATGCAAGGAGTGGGGAGTGCATAAAATTGTGATGAGCAGCTCCCCGTCCACACGCTTCAAGGGGAGCCTCTTCCATCGCCCATGCGTGGATGGCATGACAGAGGATGAAATGCCAAAATTGCCCTTGAATGCGTATATGCAAATGTACGCAGAGACCAAAGCAAAGGCGGAGATGGCTGTGACGGCTGCCTGCTGTGACGATCTTCTTGTGGTTAGCGTGGCGCCCCATCAGGTGTATGGGCCTCGCGATAATCTGTTTCTTCCCAACATGCTCGAGGCAGCAGGGACAGGCAAATTGCGTATTTTCGGTTCTGGTGAAAATCGTATCTGTTTCACTCACGTCGACAACTACGCACATGGCCTTATTATCGCTGAGCGGCAACTTTTCAAGGGGTCGCAGGCTTTGGGAAAGTTTTACATTGTGACGGACGGCCGCACACACCCAGAACCTGATGCCTACTGCATCTTCTGGAAAGAGCTCGACAAGGCCGTGGTGGCGATGGGATTCTCGTCTATTCAGCAGAAGGTACACTACAACTTTTGGTTCTTGTATCTGGTGGCTCTTTTCGCTGAGGCGCTTGGATGGCTTATGGGACGTGTCTTCAAGCTGAACGTGTTCAATGTGTTTGTGCTAACAATGCACCGGTGGTTCCGAATTACGGCAGCAGAACAGGAACTAAAGTACGAGCCGATCATTCCGTTCCGTGAGGGCTGGGATGATACCATCTCATGGTTTAAGGAGAATTGGCTACCCACCTTTGAGAAGCAAGACAAGTCGTGGTTCGGGTTGGCGAGGCGTTCACAGCAAAAGATTGACATTCAGGCACGGAAAAATCAATAGGCATGCTGTGGCCCTTTAGCTGCCACTTCTTTTTTAAAAAAATCTTCTTTGCTTTCTGTTATTTTGTCTTCATGTCTGGGTTCGTCTCTAATGTTGCAGGCTCAGCGCTGTCATGTGTGTGTGTGTGTGTGCTGCCATTGTCCGTGGGGCGTACGGACTTCTCCCTCGTTACTCCCTCCCTCTCTTTCTTTCTTCGTCTTCGTTTTGTCCTCCTGTTTTCCCTGCTGAGAGATCGGAGTGTAGCTGCGAGTGCGCAAAGCAGGTGTACGTGAGTGTGTGGAAGGTGCAGAGCCATGGCCGCGTTGTACCCGTGGGTGCCGGCGTCCAACGCTGCGTACACACTCGCTCGGCGCGTGGTGAACCGCCTCACCCCCCACACACGCAACACGTACCCGCTGCCCATCTTCGACGGCCCCTTGCCGGCGGAGGTGCCGGAATCCCTCCTCCTGCACGGGGTACGCGCTTCGCCTGACCCGTTCAAGTACATGGAAGACCTCTTTGACCGGCGCACGCAAAGTTACGTGCGTGCGGAGCAGCGGCACTTTGCGCTCATAGACGCCAAGATGGACTTCAAACACTCCAAGGCTCGGCTCTGGGCGGAGCTTGACGCGAAAGTTGTTATTACAAGCCGCGAAGGTGGCTTTGACAAGGGTGAGGAGCGCATAGGCGACTACGTGTATTTCACCCGCGTGGTGCCAGGGGGCGATCCCAATGCCATTGGTTTTTATCGCAAGCGCTTCGGCGAAGTGGACCTGCTCGCGGAGGATCTTATCAACCCCACCACGCTGCAGCAGCAGTTTGGCTACGAGAAATGCAGCGTCGGCATCTGCCGTGTTTCACAGGACGGAAGGTACCTCGCCTACACACTATCCGTAGAGGGTGGCGACCGGTACATATGTCACGTGCGCAGCCTCGACAACGCAAGTCTGTTCCACGTAATACGTGGGCGCAACATTGTAAGTATCGAGTTTGGCGCAGACAACCAGTTCTACTTCACTGAGTCAAATGACCTTAACCGACCGTACATGGTGATTATGCAGGAGATACGCCCAGGTATCTTGCCACCGCCGGTGGAGCTCTACCGCGACGACGATGAACAGTTCTTTGTGGATGTGCATAAGACGAAGGACAATGCGTACATTGTCATTACTTCAGACTCCAAGGTGAAGAGCAGCGCACGAGTGGTGCCCGCCTCGTTCCCAAAGATCTCACGAGACCTGGAAGCTTTTTTTCCCGACGGTCGCCCGGTGGAGATTGCCAGCAAGGAGAGCTGGAGTTGGCTTGAGCACTACAAGGGACACTTCCTTATGGTCGTGGCCGATCGTGGGCCTAACTACCGTGTCGTTTACGCGCGAGAGGAAGTGGTGCTCAAGTATGGCAGGAGCGCAGAGTGGAAAGAGCTCATTCCGTACCGCGATGATGTGCAGATTGTAGACATTGACCTCTTCGAGGATCGTATTGTGCTGTACGAGGTCCACTTTGCCTTTGAGCGCATTAATCACATTCGTATCATAAAGTGTGACAAGGGCCTTGACGATGCGGCGCGGCAGAACCGCGGGGATGATATGGTGCTCCACTTCCCTCCGCTTGCCTCTGTCACGCCTGGGTTGAACAAAAATTTCAACCAAGATTCTTTCAGCTTCGTGTACAGCAATATTTGTCAGCCGAGCAAGGATTGCGTGTTCAGTTTCGAGAGCAAAATGACCGCAGAGAATAGCCGTTTGTGCGCCCCTGAAGCACTCTTTACACAGCGTCAGTCAGAGCAGTTCACACCGTGGGACTACATGTGGCCCTACAGCATTTACCGCGACCTGTGCATCTCCGAGGACGGCACAGAGATCCCCATCACTATTTGTCACCGGCGCGACACCTTTGTGCAAGAGGCGACCGACTTTGAAGCGCAGCCCAACACGCCAAAGCACTGCCTCATTTATGTGTACGGTTCTTACGGCGAGGTACCCTCTATGCATTTCCAACTCGCTCCCTACATGTGGATGCTGCGCCGCCGCTGGGTCGTTGCCTTTGCGCACGTGCGCGGTGGCGGCGAGCTACCTAACTGGGCAGAGCAAGGGAAAGGCAAACAAAAAATTAATGCCGTGCATGACTTTATTGCTTGCTGCGAGCACATGGTGAAGATGGGTTACACAAAGCCAGAGCTCATGGTGGCGGCGGGGAACAGCGCAGGGTGTGTGCCCATCGCGGCCGCCATGAACATGCGTGGTTGTGGCCTATTTGGCAACGCCCTGCTGCGTGCACCCTTCCTCGATGTGGTTAACACGATGCTAGACCCCGATTTACCGCTCTCGCTGGCGGAGCGTGACGACTGGGGCGACCCGCTGCACCGCGCGGATGACCACGCCCGGCTGCTGCAGTACGACCCGTACCACAACATAAACGACCGCGTGACCTACCCGGGCATGATGGTCTCCGTCTGCCTCGACGACGATCGCGTGCCGCCGTGGAACGCTCTAAAGTACGTGGCGAAGCTGCGACACCAGCGACTGCGTAAAGACATCGATCCTGTCGCCCGCCCGCTCGTGCTTCGGGTGCGGAACAGCGGCGGTCACTACACCTGGGGCGACACGGAGAACATCTGCGAGGAGCTGTCCTTTCTCTGCTCACAGCTCGATCTCGAGGGGCCAGGGAAGGTGCTGAACGACATGGATATCATGACGCACATGCACAACCTCACAGCCACTGGCGCAATGGACCACGACGATCAGGAGAAGGTCTTCCTCAAGTGGGACAACTGGGAGCGGGAGCGCATCGACTACCACGTGAAACTGCACAGCTTCAATTGGGAGCCGAACTTTCGAAAGATCAAGGCCGAAAAGGAGCCATTCTTTTGGGTGCCAACAGACAAAGAGATGGAGCAGCGCAAGGTGGACGAAATGTTCCAGGCAAGGGAACGTGACGCGCGTGAGCAGGGGAAGAACGAGGCTAAAACAGGCAGTACAGGACGTGCCGCAGGGAGAAACAAGTGGGCAGAGGAAAAGGACCGGGAGTCGTAGCGGGAATGATGATGATGGTGGTGGTGGTGGTGGTGGCGGGGTGATGCTGAATGTGTCAGCGTTTTGTGAGGAAGCAATGTTCCGGCAGCAATTGCTTTGATGATGTTGTGGGCTGCAGCTGCAGCAGCACCGTTGTCGATTTTTCTCATGCAGTCTCTCAAGTTGTTGACACACTTCAGTGCTCTTTCTTTCTTTTCTCTCTCTCTCTCTCTCTCTCTCTCTTCCTTTGTTCGGACTTGCAGGTGTGCCATCTAATGAGCAGCCCTTGGAAGATCCTTGTTCGGCTCCACAGCGTGGTGAACATACCCAAGGACGTGTGCGTTGGCAATAGCAGCAGCAGCACCAGGCACGGTGATACACGCGTCTTCTCTGTCATTGCTCGTGCCGTGGCAAGCGAGGGCGCTCTCCTCCCTGACTGTGCAGAGATGCATGCCGAGTTCACGACGCACGACATTGTGCGCACCCCCGCCCCCACCGCAACTGTTGCTGATGGCAAAAATGATCTCTTGGAGGTAAAGCTTGACGGAAGGGGTGAGCGCAGCGCCGCCGCCACCGCTGAGTGGCGAATACAAACGCCGACGCTCCAGATACTGTTGCTCGTGAAGGAGCGGTGGGGTTCAGTAACAACCCCAACAACAACCATAGAAGCAGAAGCACCAACAACGACAGGAGTTCGCGTGGCCGGCGCGTGTGCCCAGAATCTTGTTTGCGACGTTGCTGATGTGGTGCAGCGTCGCAAACTTGTGACACATATTGTGGGAACTGAAATGGGGCAAATCGGTATCTCCTTTGCGGTGGCGCCGTCCGACAAGGCCGGCTACGAGCAGCGCCTCACAGAGTTCCTCTCACGCCACAACCCGAGCAGCCTGCACCTCATAGAGAGCGTTGTGCGCGGCATCCCGGAGGTCGACACCTTCACCAAGCTGTACCGCAAGTACGGTGTTGTTGACTACGAAAGACGTGTAACGGACTTCTTCCGCGTGTACGGCCGCGAGCACGCGGACCAGATACCAACACTGCTGCAGCAGTGGGAGAACCGGGAGGAGGAACTTATGCACAACCTCGTGCTTGACAACGGCCCGGAGCCGGACGCTATCGACACCGTTGCACGCCTCGAGGCATTCGTTAAGACATACGGCATCACAACAGCCACGCCAGACGTGGCGCGTGCGGTTCGAGAGTTTGGTGACAGGCCGAATGATCTCTTTGCGGCGCTGACGGCGAGGTACGGCGCAGAACCGGACCCGCGCAGCTACTTGTACCCACTGACCTTCTATAAAATAATACCGGAACTGCAGCAAAAGCAGAAACTAGAATCTCGCGGCTCCACCTTGCTGCAGGCTGCGCCGTCCAGGTTGGGAGCACCAGAAGGTACGCTGTATACAAATGAAATGCACCAGCCAGAGAAGGATCAGCGCCAACCCGATGTACAACAGCATCAACTGCCAAAACCTACCACCACGGCTGTACCCCGTTTTGATTCGATGTCAGCGACAACAAACACCAGCGCTCCCACCGCCAACAAGGCAGTCCTCAACAACAAGAACAACATAAACACTAGCAGCAGCTCGGATCTTTCGTGGGATGCATTCTGTGACTCATTGCTACGCTGTGGCAAGGTGACGTCGGATGTGTATTACATGAGTGAGGGGGAATTCTGCAATATGGTAGATGAGATGGGCTACAACAAGCCCGAACGAGACGCGCTGCTCCACCAGTGGGAGCTGCGACTGCGCTCCGCTGTGCGGGAGGAGAACCTGACCCCGGGCGACGCCTATTACGACACCGCCGCCAAAGAGGTGCTTGATGTGGTGGGGATGCAGCAACTCAACCTGGAGGTGGTCAGTGTGACGACGGCCGCGAACAGGGAGCATGCCAGTTGCTTT